TAGCGCCCTGCCCCCCCCTGGTTCGAACTCCTCCCCAATTGGGGGGGGGGGCGCTCTGGCGGGTTCGAACCCCTCCTTCCCCGATTCGAGATCCCCCCTGCATCCAGGGGGGGGTTCTCCCCTCTGGTTCGAGCCCCCCCTCTTTTCCAAGAGGGGAAGTCCCCCCCTCTGTTCAGCCCCCCCCCCGACCCCCCCCAGCCTGGAGGGTGCCCCCCCCAATGGTTGGGGAGGCTGGTCCCCAGAGGGGGGGGCCACCCCAGTTCTCCAAGGGTGCTCAATGTGTTCGTGGGGGGGCGCTCCAGTGTTCCAACGTGTCATGGTTTTTTGTCCAGGCAAGCGTCCGAGAAACGGTTCATCTCCACCAGCATCATCATCGTCCTCACCATCATCTTCTTCTTCATCATCATCACCGTGTCCAGCATCATCGTCCTCACCATCATCATCATCATCATCATCATCATCATCAGCATCATCCTCATCCTCCTCCTCATCATCATCATCATCATCATTATCATCATCGTCCTCACCATCATCATCATCATCAGCATCATCATCATCATCATCATCATCATATCATCATCTTTATCATCATCACCATCATCACCATCACCATCAGCATCAGCATCAGCATCATTATCTTCATCATCATCATAATCACCATTGCCACCACAATCACCATCATCAGCAGCACCATCGTCATCGGCATCACACTATCAGTATCATCATTATCGCCATCATTAGCAGCATCATCGTCAGCATCAGCATTATCAGCAGCACCATTACCATCATCCTCAGCGTCATCAGAATCATCATCAGCAGCAGCATAAGCATCATCATCATCATCATCATCATCATCATCATCATCATTATCATCATCATCATCATCATCATCGCCACCATCATCGTCATCATCATCAGCATCGGCATCATCGTCATCGACATCAGCTCCGTCATCATATTCATAAGCATCATCCTCATCATCTTCGCCGTCGTCAGCATCAGCATCATCCTCATCATCGTCGTTGGCAACTGTTCAGGGATATTGTGGCATAGTCTGGTCAGAATGTGTTCGGCTCAGGCTTGAAAGCTTGCATCATCTTCGGCCTCGGGTTTCACTGGTATCAGTCGGATTAGGTGATGATGCGCTTCATGTGTGGCATATGCCATGATCGGCGCTGCGCTAGTTCTTTATGTTATATGTTTCCCTCTCTCTCCGTCCCTCCTCATATCTCTAGATTTCTCTCTCACCCTCTCTCTCTCTCTTTCTCTTGCTTGTTGTTTTGGTGTTTGTGTTGAACATTTCTCCCTCACACACTCTTTATTTGTTGTTTGTCTATCTCTCTCTCTCTCTCTGTCTCTCTTTCTCTATATATACATCTCTCTCTCAAACACTCAAACGAGCCATAGTTCACTGCGAGTGCGTCTCTATTGCAGGTCGGATTGGGTGGCGATCCCAGGTAGCCTAGCGATTCTTTGGATCGCACAGAGTCTGATTCCGAGCCGTGTAGGGAAAACATGTCCACGCCCTGTGGGCAATCCGCACGCAAGGTGCCAGGACTGTGCAGAGGTTGGGTCAAACAGGCGGTGGGCTCGCTGGCCGCTTGAGGGTGGGGCTTCCCCCTCTCACGGCGGGGCGGCACGGCGGCGTGGACGATGCTTGCGCCCCTGGGCCAGACCCTGGCCCCTCCCAACCCCTCCCCTGATGGGCTTGTTTTCCACCACCACCACCATAAGTTGGAGGGGGAGGGGGTCCTCCTCCTCCTCCTCCTCCTCCTCCTCCTCCTCCTACTTATGGTGGTGGTGGTGGTGAAAAACAAGCCCATCATCCCCCCCGCGGCTGCCCCGGCACCCGTGGGGGCGAGACGTCCCTTCAATCGAAGGGCGTGCTCCAGGGATCCAGGCGGGCCCCCCGGGGAAGGAGGCTCGGCGCCGCAGCCCCTCCCCGTCAGGGGGCCCCCGTTCAGGCTGCCCCCTGCCTCTGCTGCGGCTGCCTCGGCCCGGTCGGCCTGCGCCGCGTGCCTCGTGCGGTTGCTTTCCTTGTTCCTGCGGGTGCAGTGGCCCGGGGGCGGTCTGAAAGAGAGCCGGGGTCCTTCGCCCTCCCTCCCCTGCGCCATGTGCGCTTTATGACGATAAGGGTGGGGGGTGGTATGGGTATGGGCTGGCGGAACATTTACACTTTGGCGTCCGTGTTGCTAGATACCGCGTGTTTCTGCCAGCAGCTAGTGAGTGCCGTACTAAGCTGACCGTCTCCTCGGCGAATCAGAGCGCAATTCCAAAATTCCAGGTCCTCGAAGTCTACGAGGTTCGAGCCATGGCTCTGCACGAACGAAATGGGTACGGAAAAATGCGTACGATGCCCAACAGCAGTTCCTTTTTCATTTTGAACGGGACTCGCTGTCCGCGCCGCCGCGGCCTGTGTCTATTTGGGACAGAAGGCCGCCTGCCCAACAGCGGCCGCTGTTGTTCTGGAATAACATTTGTTTTGGGGCACTGTATTCTTCCGTACCCATTTCGGGCATCCAAAATGGCTGGGCTGGGTGTTCCTGGGTTCCTGGCTGGTTGACCTTGTTGGCACGAGGGTAGGCCCACTCGGAGAGGCAACCCCTGGCCAGCGTCTGCGGGGTCCTCCTCCGTCTCTGGCGAGCTGATGGTCTGCACGGCCCCTCTGGCAGGCTGGCCAGTGAGGCGGTTGCCCCAGTCTTCCTTGCGGGGGTCGGCCTCCCATCGGAGTGAACCATGGAGCCCGTTTTTGCAGGGTCTGAACGGTAACGGCCGTGATCGGCCCTCTCCTTCATTTCCCCCCGGATCACGTCACGATATTTTGCCGACGCTTGCAAAGATGTTTTGCGGATTCTTCGAGGATTTTCTGAGATTTCCGGCGGCCCCCCGCCTTGATGTAATCGGGGGGGCGACCTCCTCCCCCCTCCCTCCCTTGATCACGCCCGGTATCGTGAGTAATAGAAAGACAGGTTCATAGGCCATGAAAGGGGGTGTGAACCACAGGCCTGCCGCGCGGGAGCCCCAGCACCCAAGGGGGCTCGATCTCTCCTCGGCCGCGGGTTCCGGACCCTGGTCTCACGAAGTACGGTGAGGGCGCTCGCTTGCGGTCGGGGGGTGAGCCACAAGCCACCGAGGTTGGGCCGTTTTGAGCTGGGGGTGTCTTCCACGCACAAAGGGGGCTTAGGGGGAGGGGGGAAGATTTCTTAGAAGCACCCCTGCTTCTCAGAGGGCGCGGGCCTGGTATATAGATGTAGGACGGGGCCGGCGCCTCATAAGCAGCAGCCTGCTTCTCAGAAGCCTTCTCCCCTGCCCTTACCCCCTTTGTGCGCGCCGCTAAGGTTTGCGGGTGACCGCCCCTTTCCCCCCCTTCCCTCTCAGGGTGTTGCGGCACGGCTCTCGCCAAATCGCCAGGGTGGACGTAGTTTGCGGTCCTGGGCTGGAGAGTGCTACATCGCGTTGGGTCCTCGTGAAGTGTCGTGCTGGTCGGCGCGGCTGTCGTTCTAACTGCTGCCGCGGCACGTGTCGTGTGCTCTCCTCGGGGTCACTGGAATGTGGGCAGTTGGCGCACCGCACCGTGCGCGCGGAGCATTCCCACTTCGAGGGCGATGCTCGTGCCTCGGCCTCGGCCTGGCACGCGGCCCGTGGCGGCTGGGCCTCGGGGTTTGGCCGTTCGGGCGTCCCCCCGACGGCAGCCGTGCTTGTCCACCGCTGGTCGCCGGGGGAAGCGTCGGCTGCGTCCGAGGTGCAGGTCGCTGGCCCTCCACATCCCATATACGCTCTTGCGGGGGTCACTGGGGGGTTCTGGCTGGATGGTCGGCTGCCACATGGCGCACGCAGTGGGTCGGTATCGTTTAACATATCCCCATCCCCATCCCCATCCCCATCCAGACCCCCAGCATCCTTGCACCCCAGTTGGGAACACAGACCTCGAAACCCGAAGGGCACGGCCTACATCCCCATCTTGGGGGTGAATCGGCCATTGGGGCCCAGGCCACGTTCGTGGGCATAGGGGTTGGTTAAGCGATGCCCAGCTGGTGGCGCTTGCGCAGGCATGGCCGCCGGTGGTCTGGCGCCGCCTTCTTCTTCGAGCTCCCACTGGCCCATCCCTGCGCATGTCAGCCGCCGGGTGGCGGCGGCCGCCTGCTGATGTTTCTCTGCGGGCGGTGCGCTGGCTGTCGGCTCGCCGCATGCCATAGCCGGAGCCGGGTCACTGGTGTGCGGACCGTCGGCGGGCCACGTGTCGTGTGCCCGCCGTGTTGCGGCGCCGACGGGCCCCTGCGCTGTCTGAAGTGCCATCGATCAGGGCTCCTCATCATCATCGTCATCACCATCACCATCATCAGCAGCGTCACCATCGTCATCAGCATCATCATATTCAGATTCATCATCAGCGCCATTATCATCATCATCATCATCATCATCATCATCATCATCATCATCATCATCATCATCGTCATCGTCATCATCATCATCATCAGCAGCAGCAGCATCATCATCATCGTTGTCATCATCATCATCATCATCATCATCATCATCATCATCATCATCATCATCATCATCATCGGCATCAACAGCATCATCACCAAATCACCATAATACGCATCATCACCGTTATCAGCACCCCCATCATCATCATCGTCGTCGTGGTCGTTGTCCCGCCGTCGTCATCATCAGCATCGTCGTCACCATCGTCATCGTCATTGACACCATCGTCGTCGTCATCTTCCTCGTCAGTATCATCACCACCAGCATCATCATCATCATCACAATCACCATCAGCATCATCACCATAATCACCATCATACTCAGTAGCATCATCAGCATCAGCATCATCACCAGCAGCATCATCATCAGCATCATCGTCATTATCATCGTTATCGTCATCGTCGTCGTCGTTGTCATCGTCATCGTTGCCACCGCCAACTCCAATATATGCTCACCCTCCTGATCCTCCGCGCCTTATCCTCCTCTTCCTTCCACTCCTCATCCTCCCCCTTCAGGTCGTCGTGCTCCCGCCCGTCTACGGCACTCTGGACCAGATGGGCATCAGCCCGCCTGATAGCATCCTCTCGCTGAAAGCCGACCTGCATAGTGAGCTCGTCATGGCCAGGGCAGGGTCAGCCTGAAGCCACGCATCGCGACTGAGGGGAGGATGGAGGAGGATGCATGAGGGGGGGACGAAGGAGTAGACGGAAGAGTAGGGGAAGGAGGAGGAGGAGGAGGAAAAGGAGGAGGAGGAGGAGGAGGAGGAGTTGGAGGAGGAGGAAGAGGAAGAAGTAAAAGGAGGAGGAGGAGGAAGAGGATCAGCAGGAGGAGGCTGAGGGATACGGAGTCGTGCCAGGAGAAGAAAGGAGGGAGGACCAAGAGGAGCATGAGGAGGACGACGACAACAGGGAGGCGGAAACAGAGGAGGCGAGGGAAGAGGGAAAAGAGGAGAGGAGAGGAGAGGAGAGGAGAGGAGGGAGCGAGAGGAGAGAGGACACAGAGATGGGAGAGGAGCAGGACGAGGACGGGGAGGGGCAGGGATGACGAGGAGGAGGAGGAGGGAGCAAAGAGAGGAGGCCCATGACCAGCCGCGAGCACGACCCAATTCGCGAGCTACGCCTCGCAGGTGTGATGTAGCCACGCGCCGTGGCAGGATCACTCCCCAGTGGCAGGCGCCTCGCATCTTCTGGGCTTCTCGTGTTTTTTGTTCACTCGGTGAAGAGAACACTGCACATACATAATTCGTCGGCGGTCCGCGCGGATCTCTTGGATCTGCCTTGGGCCCCCCTGTCGGCGCCTCTGGCGCCGCCCCTGGCGCGCTCCGCGCGCCCGGGAAGGGGGCCCAGCGCCGATCCAAGACATCAGCTCGGATCTCCGGAAGTGTAGGCAGTGTGTCGTTCCTCTATTCGCCCCCCGTCGCCGTCGTCGTCTGCGTCGTCTACGTCAAGTTCACAGGTCCTCCACCCTGCCACTCGTCCTCTTTCTCCCCCCTTCCCTCCTCCTCCTCCTCCTCCTCCTCCTCCTCCTCCTCCTCCTCCTCCTCCTAGGCTGCCGTTTGAGGGAATCGAATCCTGCCCAGCCGAACGCATTGCAGAATCGTGCCCGAGATAGCATTTCGCCCCCTACCCGCAGGCTTCGGGGGGCAGGGGGGCTGGGGGACCCGCCACTAGCGAAACACGGGCAGGGAAGCAACGGGGCCACACATCCGATACCGTAACGTGCATCGTCTCTTCGTCTTCTGATGGATTTGTTTTGTGCCGCATTTGATCCTGAGCTCTCGGGGTCTGCAAGTGTGACCTCCAGCCAAAGAAGACGACAACGTATTCGACACACCCACGCAAAACAATGCCAGGTTGCCAGGATGGACACTTTGAGAGGCTTATCATTATCACCCCCGCCGGGACTCGGGTAGAGACCAGAAGATCAGAGAACAGAGTTTGAGAAAAGGTTACATGCTGGAGCACCTTGAAGAAAAACTGAAGGACCGCGCATTGGAGAGCCAGCGCACAAGTTCCCGCAACGAGGACGACGCAACCCAAGACGAGAAGGCAGCGCAGGTTGCATTAACAACGGAGGGAGACGGGAGTCAGGAAGTCAATACCTGGTGGGCCCGATGCGGTCCTGGAGAGACCACACCCGGCCAACGGGCCGAAATTCATCAACTTGGACGCCACTCTGTTGAACACAGAGAAGCTATTTGGGAGTCGTTCGGGTGACATCTACTTTGGAGGGCGGATTGGCGCGATTCGAAATTCTGACAGCATGGATCAGTTTCAATCGATTCTAGATGAGTTCCCATACGGACTGGAACAGTTTGCATATTGTTGTGCACGCATCGAGCCGGAGAATTTGGATGCGGGCAGCCTCTCAGCAAACGAGGAAAAAGGACACCACGGCCGCGTTTACTAAGTTGTTGGACCACGTATACGAAATATTCATAGACAGTGGAGAACTGTTTTCTTCTGACACCGTACGGCTTGAACACGAATATCCAAGGCATGATGTGCACGCAGCAATGGAAACATGGATGCAGGCCGGTGTTATTGAAAGCGATGGTCGCACAGATAGAACAATGTGTTGAATAACCATGTTTGCCACAGTGGTGTTTTGCCGAGACAGACAACAACAGTTCGTTTGCTAGGCTTTGCCTTCCGCGGCTGCCCCTTCCCCTCTCATCCCCCCCCTGGTCGGGGGCCTCGGCTGCTGGCTTGTCCCTTGCCGTTCCTCGGCTGTCCTCCTCTCCTGTTCCCTTCCTGGCTCCTCGGCTTCTCTGCCACTCGGCCCCATCTTGGGGCAGAGGATTCCGCGGAGAGATAAGAGACGGTACGTATTGCAGCGGTGCGTGGGGTGTGGGGGAGGAGGAGGCGGGGGAGGGGGAGCCTGCGCCCGATGCACGCCTGCCCAGAATTCCATTGGTCCCCCAGGGGCGGGGGGGGGGGGGGGGGGGGGGCGCCGCCCTACTGAAGGCGGCAGCCGCCCGCCTCCTGCAATCCCATTATCCCGCCTCTCCTGAGCAGAGTCCCCTGCTAGCGTGGTAGGCGTGCCACTCCCCTGCTGAGGGAGGGATGCTGCGCCCCAGGCAGCCCGCCGACCTGACCAGGTAACAGGTTTCCATCCACGTTCTCACCCACGGGTCCAGCTCGCTTGTAAGCAAGCCAGGGACGGAGACACCCAATGGCCTTATCCTTATCCTTCTCCTCCTCCTCCTCCTCCTCCTCCTCCTCTTCCTCCTCCTCTTCCTCCCCCCCCTCCCCCCCCCTTCCTCCTCCTCCTCCTCCTCCTCCTCCTCCTCCTCCTCTTTCTCCTCCTCCTCCTCCTCCTCCTCCTCCTCCTCCTCCCTGCTCCTCCTCCTCCTCCTCCTCCTCTTCTTTCTCCTCCCATCCTCATCCTCGTCCTCATCCTCATCCTCATCCTCATCCTCATCACTTTCTTCCTCCTCCTCCTCCTCCTCCTGATCATCATCGCTATCATCATTGTCATCATCAGCATCACCCACCTGGTTTATTGATCCTCCTCCTCCTCCTCCCCCGCCCTCTGCCTCTCCGCCTCCGCCCGGTCCCTGTCTTCCTTCGCTTCCGCCGTGCGCACTCTGGACCTCCTGACAAGAATCGGAACCGATGGCGTTTTCAACATTTCCGTACACCTGGGACCGTTTCCAGGCGCCGGGTGGGTGCTGAGATGGGTGGAGGCCAGCACGCGAACGCACCCACACTGAGGCCGTAGGTTGAGCTCCTCGTGGAGCACGACCCGCGTGAGGGGTGCATCAGAATTTGAGGAGGCCCGCACGCGAGTGCGCCCACCAAGGCCGTAGGTGGCGTTCCCTGAGGGTCACGATCCGCGTGAGGGGTGCGCCGAACCCAGACCTCCTCGCGTTGTGAAAAGTCTCGACGGGAGGTTTTTCGCTATTTTCGGCCTCTGGAGGTCCTTACGGGGTCTCGGGACAGTCAAAAAACGACTCAGGATGAAAAACCGGTCCCGGGGAAGGGGTCCAGATCTCTGGGGGTCGACGTTGTGAAGAAATCACGACGTCGGGAGTCAGCGAATTTAGTGTTGGTGACGCATGCGAGTTCCCTCAGTGTGGCCGTAGGCGGAAGCTCCCTGTGGGATCCAGATTCCTCGTGAAAGGTATGCCGAACTGGCAGGAGATAGTGCAGACGAGATCGCTGCGGGCGCGGCCAGCGTCGTGGACACGCATGCGAGGGCCGATTGAGGGATTTGCCGAAGTGTGCGTTGGGAGCATAGGAGCTCCTCACTTCTGCGGGCACGATCCGCGTGAAGGGTGAACTAACTTGGGTGGAGCTCCCTATGGGAGGGGTGATCAATTGCGATGGCACAGCAACTCCGGAAATCACCCGCCGCTTTGGGGAAGCACTTGGCACTGTCAACAAGCTTGCAATGAACGGAGGATGGGGGGCGAGATCGCAATGGAACGGAGAGCCCCCCACAGGGAAATCGATTTCGGTGTCGTGTTCGTGTCGCGCGTGCGGGCGAGGCGAAGCTCCGTGGGAGCGCGAGAGGACTGACCCCGCCGTCGCTACGGCGATTCGGATGCAGAGGACCGCCCCTCCACCCCTGGTGGGCGCGCCGTTGCCCAGGGTGTCCCGCCGTGGTGTCCTGTGGTGTCCTGTTGGTAACCCGTTGGTGTCCCGTTGGTTTTCCGTCGGTGGTGGACGGGCGGTGGCTGGGGGCGTCACGCCTTGGTATCGATAGTCAAGTCGATAGTGAAATCGAGAATGCAATCGCTAGACCGGGGTGGTTTGCGACATCAAGAGTGGAATCGACAGTGAGGTTGATTGTGACATTGGTTGAGAGATCGAGTGAGATGGAAAGCGGGGACGACAGGAACATTATATTGCAGCGTAACGTCGTCATCACGCGTCGTCTCTAACTCGAGGGCGCCTCTCCAGCATCCTCATCATCACACCCATCGCATGTGCCAGCAGTTGGTTATGTCCCCCCACCTCTCAACCTCCTTATTACCCGAAGGGTGGTCGTGTAGGTATGGTCGCATACTGCAGTGGGGTAGAACATAAAACGCGAATTATAGAAGAGCGTTGCTTTTAGTAAGCTGTTGCAGTTGCTTGATTCGCCGTGGCTGTTGAATTTAGAGAAATGCTGGGTCGACGCGTTTCGTTGCCGTTGCCTGCGGCGCATCCTGGCACACCGCTCTCTTATCTATTGCGTCTGAGTGGTGCGGACGTTATGAACGGAGCTGTTGCCAAGCCTCTCTCCCAATGTTCTGCTTGGAGGGCAAGCCTTCATCCCTGGTGTGACAACACTTATGTAAGGTATTGATGGTGCTCCAAAAAAACTAGGTAGCACACCGTCGGCGTGGACGGTCCAGGCAGCAGTTGGCTTCCCTCGGGGGCAACGATAAGGAGGGGATAGGCATATGGGGGGATGCATCGACCTCCAGTCGCCCACTGATCGCCGATGGGAGCACGATAGCCCCAACCTGCCCAGGAAGGTGCGGAATCACTATCGGAGGCCTATCGCCGATCTATCGGCGATGTATCGCCGATTCTAGGTCGATGCATCTTCCCCTATGCCAGTCCCCCCGATCGTTGCTCCTCAGTCCCAAGTGTACAGGATAGTGCAGCACATCTGAGGTATCCCCTGTCTGGTCCTCCTCTTTTCCTCTACCCTTCTGCGTCTCGCTGTTCGAGTTTGCCCCGAAGAATTGCGAATCGCGCGCTCTGCTGCCCACGCGTTCTTCCGGATGCTCGGCTCAGTGGTGGTGGTCCCTGTGGGGGGCACGGTCCGCGTGACGGGTGTACCAAATTGGGTGGTGGTAGCGCAGGCAAGCCCCTCCGCTCGAGCCGCTGGATTGGGATGCGGGGGGGGGTAACGCAGGCGAGTTCCCCTGCGGAGGCCGTGGATGGAACCCCCTGTGGGGTCACAATCTTCGCGAGGGGAGAGCCGAGCCGGATGGTCTCGGCGCAGACGAGCTCCTCCATTGGGGCCGCAGGTGGCGCTCTCTTTGGGGGCACGATCCGCGTGAGGGACGTGTCGAGTTGGGCGTGGGGCAACAGCTCGCAGGGGGGGAGGAGGAGGAGGAGGAGGAGGAGGAGGAGGAGGAGGAGGAGGAGGAGGAGGAGGAGGAGGAGGAGGAGGCGAGGTGAGGAGTGGACGCGCGACGATGCGGACGGAAAGCGATGGCCTACACAGCGCGAGGAGGGCTTGAGAACAGAGCCACCAGGGGCAGATTGCCAGTCCCCAGGAAGGGGCAGAGAGCTCGGGGCCCCGCGCATCGAAAAGGTCTGTGCCTGCAGGGAGGAGGAAGGAGGGAGTACCGAGGATTTTATACACTTCTAAACGCCTGCGGGCCTCCGCGCCAGACGCCACGGGCCTCCGAGGGCTTCCGGAAGCCCCCGGAGAACCTCCAGGGACCCGTGTTGCTCATCTCCCCTTACTGGTCTTCAACGTTCCCCGGTGAAGCTTCGGGTTGCGCACAGAAGGCCCCCCCCCAGGTAGTCCGAGCAGGCCTCAACAGGACCGCCGAGTAGTCTGAGGCGGTCTCAGCGCCCTGGCACCGCCTTCGGCGGCGCCCCTGGAGCGCTCCGCGCCCCAAGGTTTGGGTGTTGAGACCGCCCCAGACTGTTCGGAGGGCCTGTTGAGGCCAGCTGGGACTACTCGGGGGGCCGGCTTGTCGAGGCCAGCTCGGACTACCTGTGGGGCCTGTCTGGGCGCAACCTGAAGCTTTTCTGGCCCCAGAGCCGAGTTTTGGGAGGGAGGAGTCGCCGCGAAACGATCACGACGGGCGTTATTTGGCCTCCTGGGCCATTCTTTGACCCAGAAGTCGGCCGCGACGAAAAACAGGCCGCTCTAGGGAGAGGGATCGAGGGCGAGGGCTCCGAGGGCCCACGTCGCGAAAAAATCGCGGCGTCGCAGGTTTGGGTGGTCGTCGTCGTCGTCGTCGTCGTCGTCGTCGTCGTCGTCGTCGTCGTCGTCGTCGTCGTCGTCCTTCTCCTCCAGCTCAGGCATTGAGTCAGCGCTGGGGCACAACGCCCTTGGGCCAGAATGCATGTTTGCATCAAGCTCTGCGTTATCGGCCCTGGCGTTGCGTCCAGCGAGCCAGGTATAACGGAGGCACCTCGCATTATGTACAGGCAGTGAGAGGCATGGCCTCGAACGCATCATCTGCTCATCCATCACCCCTTTTCTATTGTATCATGAGCATGGCCAATTACCAAGTCGTCAATCTTGCAGCATACAGAAGCGTTAAGTTGCACATATGTTGCGGTTATATTTTGGAGGATGGACAGGCAAATCCGTGCATGTGTCCTTCCAGCCAGGGACTGTTTGGCGGTTGTCGGAAGGATGCGCTGGGTGTAAGGGATGTCGCAGACATTTGAAACGACGAGTAGGGAAAGCAGACTATCATATGATATCATGTGTAGAGGTGCACTCATGGCCCATGGGCAGAGCTGTGAACTGAATGCTCTCAGGCAGGGTTTGACTTCTTGGACAGCAGCGATGCTCTGGGATAGAAGTTTCTTGGGTGTCGAACATTTCGGCTATCTTTCAGCCTCCTGAGGCCTCACAGGTTACCCAGATACCTGAAGGGACCTATTCCCATCCACTCGTTCTCCCTCTCCTCCTCCTCCTCCTCCTCCTCCTCCTCCTCCTCCTCCTCCTCCTCCTCCTCCTTTTTTTGAGAAAAAAAAAGCCTGGGAGCATCCGAGTGGGTCCCCACCCTTGCCACCAAAAGGACCCCTGGGCGTTGGGGTTATGGTTCCGGGTCCCTAGCCACGAGATGCGCCACTTACCAGACTCCGCCTCTTAGAGGACTGGCCCCTGTGGCGCTCCGCCTTTGGGTGCAAGGTCGAATCAGTCATTAGTATATGCAAGGAGAACTGCAAGCAGGGGCGGCCCGGCAGGGGCGGAGAAGGGTCCTCCTGTTTCTTCTCTTCCTCCTCGTCCTCCTCTTCTTCCTCCTCCTTTTTCTTCTTCTCCTCCTCCTCCCCCTCCTATTCCTCCACCTTTTTCTTCTCCTTCTCCTCCTCCTCCTTTTTCCCCTTCTTTTCTTACTCCTCCTCTGTCTATCCTGCTCATCCGTCTCCTGCTGCTCCTCGTCCTCCTCCTCCTCCTCCTCCTTCTCTCCCTCCTCCACTTTCTTCCTTCCTTCTTCTTCCTCCTCCTCGTCCTCCTCCTCTTCCTCCTTTTCCTCCTCCTCCTCCTCCTCCTCCTTCTCCCTCTCCTCCTCATTCACCTGGCTTCATCCAGCCTCCTCCTCCTCCTCCTCCTCCTCCTCCTCCTCCTCCGCCCTCTCCCTTTCCGCATCCGCCCGGTCAATGTCCTCCTTCGCCTCCGCCGTGCGCGCTTTGGTTTTTTTCCGTGCATGTTGTTGTTTTCATGTTTCTCCACATGCCCCTCGTGCTGCTGGCCGCTGCTGTGGCTACTCTTGTGGACATTATGCCGCCGCCCACTCTGCAGCCCCCGCGCTGCTGGATACCAGGCCAAGTGCTCACAGCGCTGTTGCTCAGCACGTCGTTCTCCGAGAAGTACCGCGGCCGCAACATGTGGCCGGACACGCCGAACAACGTGGGCCGGGCACGGGCAAGCAGAGCGTGGCGGCGGAGCGCCGCGGGAGTCGGTGATACGTGAGAGCACCCTTTCGCCAGGGTAGCTCTGGTGCTGGGACAAACGGGGCGCCTGGGCATACACATTTTTCATGTCTAATTCTTCGGACCTTCTTTGATTTTTTGGGGGTCCAAGATCCTTTCATTTCTGAATGTTTTATCCTGGGCCTCTTCCTGGCCACCAGGGGGCCAGGAGCAAGTAGAAACGAGCACAATTAGAAATGAGCACGATTAGAAATGAACGACGTGTACTCCTCCAGAGCTTCCGACGGCGCCCAGAGGGTTGCGTCGGGGGGGTGGCGTCTCCTCCTGCAAACAGCAGCGCGCCCACGGTCAGCCTGTTAAGGGTCGCCCTCGCGTGGGGTAGGCGCGGAGGGCCCCGGCACAGCGAGGAGGAGCGGGGGAAAGGTTTGCGAGAGCCCTTTGCGAGGGCGCTGAGCGGGTCAATAGTTGTACAGTGGAGATCCATGCCAAGAGACACCTTGCTTGCCTCCAGGGTGGCCTGGGTTTCTTGGGTTTCGATGGTTTTGCGATGGAATTCGTGACGTTCCCACGCCAAAATTCAGTGGACGTTCTGGAGTCTCAGGGTTTGGTTTCTTGTGGAAGGTTTCTTTTGGTCGGGCCCCTACTGTATAACAAGTGCCTTCTGCGGTCCATCAGTCCCAGCTGGCTCTTGGTGGAGGGAGACAGGGCGCGCAGTTGTTTCAGACGTCTTACACAGGAGTGTGGTGTAAAGCAGTGGGGCACCGGGTTGAGAATGGCGATGTAATTTACGATGGCAACAAGTACGTTGCATTCCGAGTTCGCCAACGTTGGTTTTGCGTCGACCATTGCAAGCAACGTCAGAGGTCATGACTCCAAGTTCCCCTAACGACCGCCGTCCGACTTGCACGGTGACGCAATACACCCATTCCAGGACCTCCGATCACCAGGCACGCGATGGCGGACATTCTTGGAATTCCCCAAACTCATGTGTATGATTAGTTCTGGGACGTTCCTGGTTTGTTCAGCCACGCGCAGAGGGGGATGGGGGGAGGGGCGAGGGCTTCTCGGAAGCACCCCTGCTTCTTAGAAGGCGTGGGCCTGATCTGTAGATACAGGGCTGCCGCCTCCTAAGAAGCAGCCTCCTGCTAAGAAGCCCTCCCCCCTCCCTCCACCCCCTTGTGCGCGCCGCCCTGGTGTTCCTCAAGCAGTGTCTGCACTCGGGGGTTCTCGCTTCACTTCTGAGGAGCTGGGCCCGCCTGCGGGCCCGGCTGCCCCGTTCCCGTCCGTCGCCGCCCCATGCTTCCCGATACAGTGGGGATCCACGTCAGGAAGCACCCTGCTCGCCTCCAGGGTGCCCTGGGTTTCTTGGGCTTCGAGGGTTTTGCGATGGAAAGCGTGACGTTCCCACGCCAAGAACCAATGGACGTCCTGGGGTTCCAGGGTGGGGTTTCTTGTGGAAGGTTTCTTGTGGACTGGCCTCCACTGTGAAAAGGCCCCCGCCTGCGGGCCCGGCGGCCCCGTGCCTGCCAGTCGCCACACCACGTAGTTGACGCAGCATGGCTTGCACCACGTCGATGGCGCCGCAAAGCTCACACACCACAGCTTGCAGCACACAGGTTGCACCACATAGCTTGCACCACAGATATGGATTGCACCATATAGCTTGCACCACGACGATCGCATCACATAGATTGCACCACATAGCTTGCACCGCCTAGCTTATATCATACCACAAAGCCTGCCGCACGTTCATGGAACACATAGCTTGCACCACGTAGCTTGCACCACATAGCTTACACCACATAGCTTGCACCACATACAACCGTGAGGGCGGGCGCACCGAGCCCATTCTTGTGGTCAGTGGGAAACAAAGTTTGCACCACAGATATTGCACCACATAGTTTACACCACATAGCTTGCACCACATAGCATACATCACATAGCTTAGACATCCACTCTGTAATAATCTACTGCTTAGGGGTCCACGCTGGCAGCAAACATTGAAACACTGTAGCAGTTCTCATGTATGGAATGTTCGGAGTTATGGCTTTGGCGATGCGGGAATTCTGGAATCACACTTCTCCCGATTCGGGATCACTGGAGGGAAAGGACGGCGACGACGTCGAGCTCTGGGGCACGGCGGGGCGCAGTCATGGGTAGCCTCCTCCTCCTCTGGCCCCTCGCTACAGAGTGGCCACCGGCCCAGAAACATGATGGACCCACGAACCCGGAAAGGGATATAGACATGTGGAGCATGGACACGTTTTCACGATACCCAACTGGGCAACACCTCACGAAACATCCCACGAGACACTTCACGAAACATCCCACGAGACACCTCACGAAGCATTCCACGAGACACCTCACGAAACATTCCACGAGACACCCCGCGAAACATTCCACGAGACACCCCACGAAACATTCCACGACGACAGGCAACCACTCAACCAAGGCGGTGTGGTCGTGCTGGGGAGTGGTCGTGCTGGGGTGTGGTCGTGCTGGGGGGTGGTCGTGCTGGGGGGTGGTCGTGCTGGGGGGGTGGTCGTGCTGGGGGGTGGTCGTGCTGGGGCGTGGTCGTGCTGGGGCGTGGTCGTGCTGGGGCGTGGTCGTGCTGGGGTGTGGTCGTGCTGTGGTGAGGTCGTGCTGGGGTGTGGTCGTGCTGGGGTGTGGTCTTGCTGGGGTGGGGTCGTGCTGGGGTGGGGTCCTGCTGGGGTGTGGTCGTGCTGGGGTGTGGTCGTGCTGGGGTGGGGTCGTGCTTGGGTGGGGTCGTGCTGGGGTGTGGTCGTTCTGGGGTGTGGTCGTGCTGGGGTGTGGTCGTGCTAGGGTGGGGTCGTGCTGGGGTGGGGTCGTGCTGGGGTGTGGTCGTGCTGGGGTGTGGTCGTGCTGGGGTGTGGTCGTGCTGGGGCGTGGTCGTGCTGGGGTGGGGTCGTGCTGGGGTGGGGTCGTGCTGGGGTGTGGTCGTGCTGGGGTGGTCCGCACCCTGTGATTTATCGATCGGGTCGTGCTGGGGTGTGGTCGTGCTGGTGCTGGGGTGTGGTCGTGCTGGGGTGTGGTCGTGCTGGGGTGTGGTCGTGCTGGGGTGTGGTCGTGCTGGGGTGTGGTCGTGCTGGGGCGTGGTCGTGCTGGGCGTGGTCGTGCTGGGGTGTGGTCATGCTGGGGGTGTGGTCGTGCTGAGGTGTCCCGCACCCTGTGATTTATCGATCGGGATTTCAAAAACAAGCGTTTCGCCTGAGACATCCTCAAATTTTAATCCGCCGGCCTCCTTCGACCTCGATATTTATCAGGGAAAGAATCCGCCGGCCTCCTTCAAGTTGGGCACCGGGGACATGTTTACATACTAAAAGAGAACCCTGGGCCCACGCCCTTTCCGGGAAAAAACGCCTCGCTCGCCTCGCCTTTGCCGTCACCCTCTGGCTCCTCCGTCTGACGAGCACCAGGGGAAGAAGGGGGAGGAGACGGAGGAGGAGGAGGAGGAGGAGGAGGAGGAGGAGGAGGAGGAAGAGTACAAGGGGGAGGAGGAAGAGGAGGAGGAGGAGGAGGAGGAGGAGGAGAGGAAGAGGAGGAAGAGGACGAGCGGGAGGAGGCGCAGAACCTCGCCTCCGCCTCGACCTCCTCCTTCATCCTTCCCCGCCGGCGGCCATGACGAGCTTCTGCGCCGCCTGAAGGGACCACTCTCACATGCCAGCGTCTTGTCTCTTGCTCTGGGCCAGATGGCTGCTGATGCAGCGGCCGCCCTCCTCACTCCTGCATCGTCCCTCCTGTCCTCCTCGCCCCTCCCCTCCTCCTCCCCCCT